CTACCTTCCAAATTTTAGCCCACCCCACCGTTTCTCTTCTTATTTTTTATCCTTACCTTCTCTCTCCTCTCCCCGTAGAAGCAGATTAACTGGCTTGATCTGAACATAGAGAGAGATAATACTCGATGAAGATCCAGTGCGACGTTTGTAGCAAAGAAGAGGCCTCGGTGTTTTGCACCGCTGACGAGGCAGCCCTTTGTGACACTTGTGACCACCGTGTCCATCATGCCAACAAGCTTGCTTCAAAGCATCAGCGTTTTTCCCTTCTCCATCCTCCCTCAAAAAACTTCCCCATCTGTGATATCTGCCAGGTTTTTTTTCCCGATTTGGCTCTTTCATTATTCATTTCTTGATAAATCTTTCTGGGGTTAATTGATTTCTTGTCTACTTTTCATAGGACAAACGGGCTTTCTTGTTCTGTCAACAAGACAGGGCGATTTTATGCAGAGATTGTGACGGTCCAATACACACTGCAAACGAGCATACCCAGAAGCATAATAGGTTTCTTCTCACAGGAGTCAAGCTCTCTGCTACATCTGCTGTTTATATGTCTTCTTCTTCCTCCGTTACCAGTAGCGGCGATCTTGTTCCTGACTCCAAGTCTCAAAAACAGCAGCAGCAGCAATCAATCAAGAAACCTGTGTCTGTTGCTCCAGTGAATTCCAATCTACCTGCAGTTCCCAGTACCTCGGCAAACACAGTAATAAACAAGGATGGGGATAATTTGGTAACAAGTGATGAAGGGTTTGGTTCGACAACAAGTAGTACTATATCAGAGTACTTGATGGAGACTCTTCCTGGCTGGCATGTTGAAGAATTTCTTGATTCCTCTTCCACCACTCCCTTTGGTTTCAGTAAGGTTTGCATTTGATTCTTTCCTTCTTGGTCGATTATCTACTAATTGTTACAGTTTTCAGCTTTATCACCGAAAGGGAGAAAAAATGATTACTTTGATATCTTGCTTGAAATTTGAGAAATTTATGTGATTTGTAGATTGATGATGGTCTCTTGCCGTATATGGACACTCATGATCTTGAACGCAATATGAGTTCTTTCTCGTCAGAAAGTCTGGGGCTTTGGGTCCCCCAAGCACCAACTCCTCCTCTATGCACATCTCAACAATATAACTATCCACAATTGTTAGGGCAGAGTGGATTCAAGGAGACAAAAGAGACCACAAACATGAAAGCTAACAGAAGGTTAGCAGATGATGCTTTCACTGTTCCACAGATAAGCCCTCCATCAAATAGTGGCTCGAAGAGATCCACAAGGGCCAAATTTTCATAATCTCTTTTGATTACCAAGATCAAGGCCATATGCTCTGTAGTTTTAATCGCATGGCTTCCAGTCAAGTTTCGTTTTAGTGTTTGGGTATGAGTTAGTCTTCTGGTATATCACCAGCTTCCCTCTGCGTTCTCTATTCCAAACTGATTTATGGGTTTTGTTTGTCCTTTGTACTTGACAAGGTACAGCCATCTTCCGCAAATATGAATGAGATTTTTAGACCTTTTTTCTTTAGAATGAAAAATGACTGAGAGGGTGCTTTACACATCCTGTGTTGAAAGTGTTATTCGCTTCAAAAAGAAAAAAACATTGAATTAATATTTTTTAATAATTTTAATATCCTAATATCAAAAATTAAAAAATAAATCTTAAACAATATCTAATACCACAATCCCTTACAGTTGTTCAACCTTGCGTGCATGGAATCATGTCCTGACAAGATCAAAGATGAATGAAACGACAAATTTGTCCTTTGTCTCAAACGAATCAGGGAAGTGACAGTTCAAGAAAGATAATTATTTTTGGAAAAAAACTAGCAACTTTGAAAAAGAAATTGAAAATTAAGTTAGTAGTTAAAGCGAAAAAAGATTTAAAAATAATAATAAAGAATAACATTTTTTATTTATCTTTGAACCCTCGTCTACAGATAGAATTAGAATTTGACGGGAGGAGATAATCTAAACGGCAGCAGATTAAATAGTTTTTACAAAGACTGGAAAACTTTTTATTAATTTATCTATTCTCATTTGTGCCACCTTGTTTTTTTTTTAAATCGCCTGTATTAGTTTCGAAAAATGTTGATCTCAATAGCATTATTTATTAAGATGTGTTATTTTTCAAAAAAAGTTTCATTTGTGCCACCTTTTTTTTTTTTTAAATCGCCTGTATTAGTTTGAAAAAACACCCAGAAGAGGTCTTCATTTCTAGATTTGACATTGGAGCACTGTAGAAGGGGGCTTGGATAGAACAAGGAGAAGATAAACATGGTACGTACGATGATGATAAAGGAAGGTGATGGTGATCGGATAGGGGAGGGGATGACGAACAGTACTAAAAGTGGTCTGATCTTGTCCTCTAATGCACAATTTCATTACAAATAGGAATTTTGTTATTTGGATTCCCTCAGGGATATTCACTTAAACATCACAATTTCGGTAAAGTCTTTTCACCACAAGGAGGCGGCGGCGGCGGTGATGGTGGTGGTGATGGTAGTTTGAGTAATATGATCCCCTGGCTTGCATCATGTCTTGAAATTTGAATCAAAGTCAATTTGGTTAGGTGCTAGAAATTATCATGATCAAATCCCATCCTGAATGAACATATTCAGCCCATTTCTTAGAAAAACATAGAAGAAAAGATTGCAGCCAACAAAATCAAAGAAGTCTCCATGTGACCATAGAATCTGCAGAGAAAAAATTAAGCGTGTTTTTTTTATTGCGGTGGATTGTGTTTTTAAAAATATTTTTTTATTTAAAAATATATTAAAATAATATTTTTTATTTTAAATATTATCATGTCAAAATAAAAAAAAACACTATCTTTTTATTTTGATATTTTTTAAGTGAAACATATTTTTTAAATCTATCTAAAAATATAAGCAGGCAGTCTAGTATTTTTAAAATAGTTTTTAGATTGAAAATATATTAAAATAACTTTTTAAAATTTTATTCATTTTTAATATCTATTCATCAAAATTAATCATTAAAAAATACTAAAAATTATTAATTAAATATTTTTAAAAAACAAAAATATTTTTTAAAAATATTTTTTTTAAAAAAAAAAAGTAATGACAGGGATCACCAACTAACTCACTAAGCCAGCGTTTGCAAACGGAATCCAAGCTTAGAATAAATCCACCGTAGCAAGAATATTGTGATAGAAGTTGCTAGATGGGAAACTTTACTGTCCGATTTCGAAAAAACGACAATGATATCTAATTAAAGAGCCCTTCAAATTTATCAGTATTCCAATTTGGTTTCTATAGTTTAAAATTTCCTAATATCAGCCCTAGTGTCTTCAAATATCTCCCATATGGTCCTTGACCATCAATCATCAAACGAAATCCAAAGCAAGGGAGCCTTTTAATTTCGGTGGAAAAAAATATTGAAATTCAATTTTAGAAAAAATGGGCACGCCATTAAGTCATTTAACGACTAGGGGCCACATCATAATTTCTTAGAAACATCGGGGGGTACTACAGAGACCTAAACTATAGGGACTGAAGTGGAAAGTCGTCGAGTTTATAGGAGTGAAAATGTAGTTTATGAAAGAACACCCACGTGAAAAGGCCAGGATCCTCAATTCCAGGATCGTCAATGTTAGAATGGTAGGTGAGCGTACAAGTAGTCTAGGGTCAGTGACGTCAGCCTCGTCATGCTTCGGGGTCACCCAGCTCATATGATAACGGTGGAGAATAAGGCTTTATGTGAAGGGTTTGTTTTTTTTTTTTTTGAGATTATGTTCCGGTACATTTGAGAATTTATTTTTGCTTGTAAAATATACAATATTAATATTTTTTATGTGTTTTATGGTTTTAATATATTGATGTTAAAAATAATTATTTAAATATATTTTAAGTAAAAAAATTACTTTTAAAAAACATTTTAAATCCAAATATTAAACTATCATTTAGATTTTATTTGTGAGTGTGTTAAATGTTGTTTTTTAAATATTTTTTTTATTTTTAAATATATTAAAATAGTATATTTTATTTATAAAAATTTATATTTAACATTCATACATAAATAACGATCCGAATATATAAAAAAATAATTTTAAACTAAAAAAATAAAAAATCTTCAAAGCACCACAATGCTAAACAAACAGGACTAGACAGTGCAAACTGCGTTTCGTCTGAAAAACAACATTTTTCGATGGTTTATATTGTATGAAACGCAGTTTTCACCACCACAAGAGCACTGCATACCGGCTTTAAAAATAATAGTAATTCATTGGCTGTTTTAATTCTCGGCCGGAAGCCCTAAATTGCTCTTTGTAAAGAACACTTGCTAAATTCAACACTATTAGGTAATATGCTTGGATGGACAGAGAAACGCTATTTCACAAGTAAAAATGATAAGAATGGCTTCGAGGGTTTTTCTCTTTTTAATCCTTCGGAGAGGTCGACGAGAGTGTTGTCGTTCGCAGTCAAAGAAGAAGACACTGCTTTATTTACTTAATGTCACCGGGGGGTTCCTGAATCCTGTCCCTGCAACAGCTAGTGGTCTAATAGACAACAAAAATTTGAGTAGATTAATTCGACTTCAGCGATCCTCCATAAGACTTCGTTTCTCTATCCTAACCTTGTTCCATTAGGCTAGCTAGGTTGGGGGCGGCCCTGTTTTTGGTCACATGCTAATGTCCAAAGTGATTGTCTGTCGGCCAGTCAGTCCACCACGGACTCGCATTCAAGTTCTTATTGTCTTATCTCCGATGTCTTTGTCTGCATCTCTTTACGGCACACGCTGCTTTCTTTTAAATAAGGCCGATTCCCTTGATAACGAGTTACAGGCCTGGTTAAAATCCATAAGCGAACTTGATGAGAGCAGATCCCAGATATGGGCCAACTCTCAAGCCACCCAGAGGAAGTAGATAAGATCCAGCATCAAAGTCATATGTGGTAGCTTATGACTAATGTGCCCAAAGGATGGCCTGTAGAAAGGCTCAGTGCCGGTCCAAGTAAAGAAACTAATCTGGAAAAGGAAATGAGAGTGAAAAAAGAAAAATCATGTCCATCAGAATTCAGAAGATCATTCTGCGTCCATTTCACGTTAGCAAAATGAATCTAAACTCTCATTAGAATTTTGAAGCCATGTATCTTCGATGAATGACAGGCCATATCCAAAAGTTTCATCATCCATATGCCAAGCAGCATGCATGCATGCAACATATGGTGAGACAGAGTCATCAGGTTTTCCAACTCCGCATCAAAAACAGCATCAAGTCAATGTAAAGAAGACAGGTACAAAAATCCAAATGCCAAAAACTCTTATCACACACCACTTCGTTTACTTAAAGAGGGCACAAATCAACCTACCTAATCTGACAAACACCAAAAAGAAAGGTACTCTTTCATCAATCATCAGGGACGTCGACAATGAGCCTTGCACATGTGCTGGCAGTCGTAGAAGCAAGGGCCTCCACAATGAAGAGGGCAATCTAACCTCATGCCTTTACACCTTCCTTTACCCATGCATTGTGCAAACTCTCCGAGCTTGTAGTCCTTGTTGCTGAAAACTCTCTTCCTGTGCATCCGGTGGTTGTTAACGCCTCTGCCGCCTCCTCCTCCTCCTCCTTTCCCCTTCCCACCACAACCCCATTTATACCAACCACCACCTCCTCCTCCCCATCCCCATCCACTCCCACCT